GGGGTGTCAGTTATCCCCCTTATTTGCATTAGCCCTTTGAGCCTTTGGCCATGGTGATACGGAAAGACTCAAATATAAAGGGCTTAGTCATAGGGGGATATGAACACACAATACCGTTGATGCCGACAACACTATTGTGTGTAACTAGTTTAGATAAAAGTATATTGCGTTTCGGGAAAGTATCAGGACTTCAAGTAAATACATCTAAATCTAAAATTCTAACCATAGTAATATCAATGGAGCTGCCACTTATGATCAGGGAAGCATTTCCATTCACTTGCGAGCCTTATTATAATAAATATTTGGGGGTAAAAATTACTTCTAAATATGAAGATCTTTATTAGGCTAATATCCCACCTTTTAATACAACTGGTTAAACTGATAGAAACTGTATCAAATATCATGGTTAGGCAGAATAGCTGCCATAAAGATGGCATTACTTCCGAAGATATTGTATATGTTTAGGGTTCTACCTATAAAGATTCCATTGTATGTAATAAAAATTCTTCAACAATTATTGAATACATTTATATGGGCAGGACAGAAGGCTCCAGTTAAATGTCCTGTACCGGAGTTGGGAGTTCCTCACTTGAGGAATTATTATTATGCGGGCCAAATATCCGTGCTCTTTTCATATTTTGCCTTAGAAAATATTCCTCAGTGGGTAACAATCGAAGTAGAGAAAATTGGTACGATTGCCATAGAAACCCTCTTATGGATCCCTAACATTAATCTATATCCGATTTTAAATCCCATACTAAAACATTCACTGGTAATTTTGCAAAAAGTAAGATACTCGGGAAGACTAATGTCTCCCCACATGCCTTTGGTAACGATCATAAATAATCCATCATATCTCCCAAGTTATGAAGAACCTGTAAGATTTTCTAGATGGGAAGGGACTGAGAAATATGATTTCCTCCCCCCCCCTCCCTACTATTGAATCAATTTATATGGGCAGGACAGAAGGCTCGAGTTTCAATAACTGTACTGTACCAATCACAAGCTAGGGTTGGGAGTTCCTTATTTGAGGAGTTATTATTATGCAATCTGCTTTATTCGTATCATGCAAAAGAAAATATTCCTCATTGGGTAACAATCGAAGCAGAAGAAATTAGAACGATTGCAATAGAAACCCTCTTATAGATCCCTAAAATTAATCTCAATCAGATTATACATTCCATACTAAAATATTCACTGGTAATTTGGCGAGAAATAAGATACTCAGGAAGACTAATGTCTTCCCATATGACTTTGGCAACAATCATAAATAATCCATAATTTCTCCCAGGTTATGATGAACCTGTAGGATTTTCTAGATGGGAAGGGACGGGACTCAGAAAAATATATGATTTTTTTTCCCCCCGCATGTGATCATACCTTTTTCAGAAATACAGGCTAAGCATAAACTCCCCCACTATTTAGATATTTACAAATTAAAAATGTAATTGATTCAGTATTATATATTGTAGAATTACCATTGGCATTAACAAAGTTTGAAAACCGTGTTTGAGAGACCCCCTTGGAAGAGGTGGCCTATCAACAGTTTATAAATCATTGACCGAGTGATTTGATGCTTGGCCGTTAAAGTATGTGACAGCTTGGGAGAATAAATTAGGAAGACAAATACAATACAGAATGTAGACCGTTTTGGGATACAGTAGCCCACTGCTCAAAACATTCATTGGAGATAGAGGCCAACTATAAGGTAATGATTAGATGGCATATGGTCCCTACAAAACTGGGCAAGTTCTCAAAGGCTATATCATTGTTATGTTTTAGGGGCTGTGGGGAAAAAGGATCGATGGCACATATATTGTGGAGGTGCCCAAAATTAATTGTTGGTCGGAAATATACAAAATATACAAATTTAGACTAATAACTTTTTTACAGCTGTTTAACATTGGCTAGAGCACGGAAGGTGGGTATCCCCTCGGTTCAACAAGTTAAAAACAAAATGTCTTGGTATTTGATTAATGAGAGAATGACAGCGATATTGGAAAATACAATCTTAAAATTTAAGAAGGTCTGGCTATGGATTAAAGAATTTATGCCATTAGATCTGGATACAATTTTAGAAGGGGAATGATAGAAATCGAAGCCATTGGGCACAGGATGGGGAGAGGGAGGGGAATGGTTTTAGAGAGAGGAGAATGATGATATACAAATAAAATTTATTTACCGTATTTTGCACTCCATAAGGCGCACCTGACCATAGGACGCAGGGAGGGTAGGGTTCTGTGACAGCTGAGACAGGTGGCGCTGTAATCACAGTCTCAGTGACCACACAGAGCAGACGAAGAACGGACTGCCTCTTGGTCACTTGCTTTAACGGCATGGCTGATGAAGACCAGGTACTGAAAGATTGGGGCAGTTTGAAATCCCTTACCATGCTTAAGGCTACCGAGACCCCTTCCTACAAACTACAATTGTACTTTGAAGATTTATTTTCACTCATGTTAATCTAGGGCAGGGGCCTCAAACTCCATTCACTCGGGTGCCACTGGACAAATGTTATTCTCCCATGGGCGCTGCTTGCCCAATTTTATACTTCAGAATTGCGTTAACTTAAAAATTTGCATTTTCCTGCAGCAGGAATCCCTAATCTGGTGTTTACAATCGGCAGCTGTCACCCGTTCAAGTTAATGATCATGTGACAGCCGCTGCATTTAAACGCCTGCACACTGCATGTAGTGGTATGTAATATGATTACATGCCATTAGAAAACAGTCACTCTCCCTGGACGCATTCATCGTGCATCCAGGGAGAGTTATTGATTCCTAACCACGTGTAATTATATACCATTACATGCAGCGTTCCGGCGTTAACATGCAACGGCTGTCACCTGATCATTAACTTGAACGGGTGACACACCTACCTATCTATATATA